TACGAGGCTTGAAAGAATTATTTCATGGCGGACTTCAGAGTTTGTAATCCACCTTAGTACTGGCACAGAGAGCAGGGGTCACAGTGAGGATCCCAAAAATAGTCAGCCAAGCTCTAGGCTTTGTTTTCATTGAATTTGCAGTAATTACACACTTTTCAGTGTGTGGACTTGTGCTTAGAAAAACTGCAAGAACTGCACAGGATTGCAGTGTGTTTCTTCCTTAAGAAGCTTCCCCTTTTTGAGAACTTACAGTCAAACCAGAGGCCTGACCTTCCAGAAAGCTCAAGATTGTTAAGGGATGTGCCACTCTCTCCTTCACTTCCTGTTCACAAAGGCCAGCTTGGTCATTGGTAGTCAAGACAGTGAGGTAAGAGGGACTAATGAATTGTAATGACCTATATGTGTGAGGGCTCTAAATTACCTGTCAAATGGTAGGGAACTTGGCACCATTCCAATGGACAGACCATTATAGGAACAAATAGCAGTATATATTCTGTGGGGCAGAATGGTGGGAAGATTCTCTTTAGTTAGCTTTGCCTTGAAATCCATCAGCTGCTCTCAGTGAAGGCATTGTCTGTGGATGAATATAGAGCTATTTGTGGTCCGCATAATTGTGGTCAAAGATGGTATTTTGTTGTTGCTATTACTTTTTTTGTTGTTGGGGGAAGGGGAGAGTGACATTTTCTGAGAGGCTCAGGGGGCCCAAACACTGAGTATTGTTCAGGCCTCCAGCAGGACCATGGATTTCCTGGTCCCTCCCAGCAGTGCCAAAGGCCTTCAGGGCTTCACACAGCAGTGCTTAGAAGCCTCTAGGGCTGCATCTGGAGAAGGTTGGGGGACCAGGTAGTTCTTGGGGCTGAATCCCTGTACTCTCTCTCCAAGACCACGAATTTGTAGGAGAACTTTTCAAAAATAAGCATGACACAATGGAAATCAGGGTGGGGGTTATTTGGGCTGGCTGGTTTATGTATTCATCATTCCAAGTAGGGAAAAGTCCCCACATTTTGCTCTTCTTTTTACTTCAATGTACCGGTCATCTTCTTTCTCATCTACTAAAGGAAGTTTGGGCTGATGTGTTGTTGTATGCCCAGGTCTAACTTGTCTGTTTCTAGAGTGTAAGATAAGATCTCATCAAAGTTGCTGAAGGAATATAATTCTACGCTCTCACCGTCCACGTTGGTCAATCTCTCCCCCTGCCCCTTCCAGAATACTCCTGAGGATCTCTTGCCTGGTCACTATTAGCTTACTGCCACCTGCTAGGACTCCACTGAGAATCAGGTGCTTAACACAAGGCAATCCCTGCAGCCACTGGCCTTCGGACATCTCTGCAGCTGACTTCCAGTTCTTCGTGCCACTGTGGATGAAGGAGCCCATATTACCAGGTTTCCTAGAGACCAGAGGAGATGGTGCTGGGGTGGCAGCCAGCTCCTCTGGGCTGAGCATCTCACTCCCTGCTTTTGGTACAGAGCTCTGCCCCTGTTCCAGCAGCATGCCTGCTTGAGGGCTTTCCACTGCCTGAGGCTCAAAGGGTCTGCTCCTTGAACTCAGCTTCAAATACTGTATAGACTAGCATTTTCACAGGACTCTTCCACAGAGCCTAGGCGAAGAGAGCCCAGACACCAGCCATTTTCTCTGCCTGGAACCATCCAGCCCCTACTCTCACCCAGCTCCTAGGACCAAGGTGTCACCTCACTTTGGTGTCTCTTCTTATTTAGAGATCTCTTAGTGTGCCCTTCTAGTCCATTAGGATTGCTGTAACTACTATGATCCCCAAGCTACCTGTGACGTATTCGATATGCCAAACACAGTTTCAAGTGTCACAATGGAGACGTTACTGGGCCTGCTCGAGCAAATCAATGAACAATGGGAGGACAGTGACAGTGACTGTGATCCACAATTAAGGGAAGAGCTTGGTTCCAGTCTTTCTGCCTTGAGTTTCCTTTGCCCTATAGAGATTCTTGAAGAAAAATCCGTATGGGAAGGGAAGAGGCTGTATCCAGCTTCAACCTGGCTGTATCTGAAACCCCAATGTTCATAGATACCAAATAAGGACTGACACCTGTCCCAAGGCTCAGTATTCTTCCACCTTCTGAAGGGCAATGACATAGTGCTACCTGAGGGTTTGCCTTCACATCAGGCTCCACACCACTGACTTTCCTGATACTCAGTGGTCAGTACATTCTGTGTTTTGTGCTCTCATGAAGAAAAGCCTAGTAAAAGATTTTTTTTAAAGTATTTAAAAATTCTTAAAAAATCTTTCGGGGCTGAAGCGATGATAGTACAGTGGGTAGGGCGTTTGCCTTGCATGCGGCTGACCTGGGTTCATTTCCCAGCATCCCATATGGTCCCCTGGGCACTGCCAGGAGTAATTCCTAAGTGCAGAGCCAGGAGTAACCCCTGAGCATCACCAGGTGTGACCCAAAAAGCTTATTGCCACCTGCTAGAACTTCACTGAGGAAAAAAAAATCTTTTACTAGACTTTTCCCCCCTTAGCATGTCTTAGCCTGTTGGAGCTGTTACAGGAATAGGCCCTAAGTGGGGTAGGTGGATTCTGAGCAAGCAGGAATTAATTGATTTCTTACATTTGGAAGCTGGACAGTCAAGATTCAGGCCTCTTCAAGCACAGCATCTGGTGAATGTCTGCTTCCTGGACGATGACTCTTCCTGCGTGCTCTCCTTCCCCTCTGGAGCAGAAACTCTCTCTAGTGTCCTTTTCTAGAGTGCTAATCTCCTTGCCTCCTAATTAAGCCTTTCCTCTTCGGGATTTTGTGAGGTTTATTCTCCCCCTCTGTTTGCCATACCTGTGGGTCTTGGACCTGGTGGAAACCACACTTCTTAATCCCATCCCACTGAAGGTTAGGATTTCAGCATCTGATTTTCAGAGGGCACACAAACATTCCTTCTGTGGCCAGCCCTGTGTGAAATTTCAAACAAGGAAGGAAAGCTAGTGTTGTCTCTAAAACATGAGGTGATGGCAATAATTAGGGACCATGTGACTAGGGACCCACCCACAACGGTGTCTCATGCTGTAAAATAAGGCCAACATTACTTAACCTGGAGTCATGTGATCTTCAGGGTAATATGTCAATGCCTGACGTGTGTGTGTGTGTGTGTGTGTGTGTGTGTGTGTGTGTGTGTGTGTAGGGTTTCCAGTGGTGTGATCTCAGCCTTGAAGGCTTGAAGGCTTGCAGTGGAGTCCTGGCCTCAGAGGCTGCCACCTGTCACTCACCTTGCCCTTTGCCTCTGTGATAGGGCCCGATTTGCATGCTCCCGAAGCACATTCATTCCATGGTCCCCAGCCCTCCCCACAGCTTTCCTTTCTAGGCTTATGTTTCCCCGAGACCCACTTTGTAGAAAACCTGAAAGTCCACATGGATTTCTGGTGACAGCACCAGACTCTTCTAGGCCGGCTTTTCATAGGCAGTTTGTAACCAGCACTTTGTTATCATTGGTGTCATTATCAGTGGGTGGAGTACTTGGCCTCAAAAAAAAAAAAAAAGAACAAGAACACCAACCTACCAAATAATCATGCCTTTGTCCTTTGGTGTTCATTCTTTCTCCAAATATTAATTGGGTACCTGCTGTGGATTGGTTCTGGTTTTAAGATGAGTGGCATACCAGCTGTGGCTGCAGGAAGCTCCCATGTGGGTAGGGGGAAGCTGCCTCATAAGCAAGTTGCAAGGGAACTTTCTGGTAAGTGTTTTGTGGGAACTGGAAGGTGGGGGAAGGGGTGCAGAGACCTATAAGAATGTAGAGACCACTGCCTTTAAAGTCATAGAATATTTTCAAAGAGACACCATATTAGCAACTCTGGGCAAAAGTTGGCACTGGCTAGGGAGAAGAGAGGAAAAAAAATAGATTTTTTGAGGTCAAGTGTTATTGTAATCCTCTCTAGGGAAGAGTTTAATCCATTCTATTTCATTCTTATTGTGCCAAAGGTAAAATAAGCACATTTTCTCCTAGAACTTAAGTGTATTTTTAATGAGCATTGTCAACATTTTAACAAGTTGCTATCCAGCTGGAATTGCCTGAGCATTATTATTTGGATTATAAGATGACTCAAAATGCTTTTGAAAAGTTTACAATTTCAGTATACACCTTCAAGCGCATGTTCTTCCCTTGCTTGCTTGTCTCTTTGTTTTCTTCCTCTTTCAAGCTCATGTTCTTAACATATATTCCTTTCCTTCTCTTTGCTCCCTCATGTCTTTCCGTTGTGTTCAATGAAAGTTATTCTGCTTCACTAAAAGTACAATTAAAATTTTGTGTAATCATATATTTAGCTAGCAATAAATTCATATGATCCTAGTGAGTTTCTAATCATGCTGGTTGCCTATTTCAAACGTGATATTTACCCTTTTTTTTTCTTCATCTAAAAGAGGGAAAAGCAGAAAAGCATCAAATGGGTATACTAAACATTTGAAAATATACTTTCAAATGACTTCATTCTTACTTGTCTCATCTACAACAGTAATGTAAATCCATTTAAATTTTGTTATTTTAGGGGACTGGAGCAATAGCACAGTGGATAGGGCGTTTGCTTTGCACTCGAGCGACCCGGGTTCGATTCCCAGCATCCCATATGGTCTCCTGATCACCTCCAGGGGTGATTCCTGAGTGCAGAACCAGGAGTAACCCCTGTGCATTGCCAGGTGTGACCCGAAGAGGAAAAAAATAAAAAATAAATTAAAAATAAAATAAAATTTATTACTTTTGAACATGTTCTTAACATCGAGGAGGAGTAATTGAACATTTATGGATAAAGTTGAGAAAAAATTTAAAACTGCTTTTGCTGTTTTTAAAGTGGATCCAGTTTTGTATACCTTAAAAATGCTGCCTTTAAAATTCAGTAGGCAAGTTGGGTCTGGGGAAGAAAGATAGCACCATGAAAGGGGATGCCTAATAGCATTGAACAGCTTTTTTGACACTAGAGTTGTAAAATGTTTTCTGCCTGGATAATAAGAAGCTCCAGTTTTCCTAACAAGTGAAAATCTTTCTTGAAGGTTATGAGAAGACAGATGATGTTTCAGAGAAAACTTCACTGGCTGACCAGGAAGAAGTACGCACTATATTTATCAACCAGCCCCAGCTGACAAAATTCTGCAACAACCATGTCAGGTAGGAGCTGCGGAAGATTGCAATAGAATCTCCTATCACCACAGTGCCATCTGTGTACCTCGCCAGCCAGCCCAAAGGAAAGGCTTCCAGAGAACTTTCCATTACACCAGGAATACTGAGGAGCTCACTGGGGGCATCTGTCTTCTATCAATTAGGAGACAAGAATAAGAACCTGTATATCTGCAGAAGCAGAAAGGATAAGCAGTCATGTGCTGCCAATTCTATATATATAGTGTTTGAATAATGAAAGCTGCTCGTGGATTAATGCCTTTGTCTAAAATCTGTTAATAGAACAAAAGAGTATTGTTTTGGGTTATGAAGTTTTAACATTTCAGAAATTTTATAGTTCTTCACTAAAAACCTTTTTTGTGTCAGAATCTTTAAGTCTTGGGTTTTTTGTTTCTTTGTTTTGTTTTATAGTAGTAATGAGCTAGTGAGGAATGGGGAGCCAAGAGAATTAATTACGTTAAATTATGCTTTTATTCCAACATAATAAAAAGTTATAATCTAAGTGTGATTGATCAAGTTGCCTCCAGATCCAAGTGAATAGCCACCAGGTATCAAGTGTTTCTCAATGGGCAAAATGAGAAATGAAAATTTTAAACGAATATTTACAGCTTCTAATTTAAGAGTAGCATTTGTTAATTTGGGAGGTGAAACATGTATCTCCTTTAATCTTCTGTCTATTAAGCAAGGGGAAGATTGGATATGTTCAAGTCCTAAGAGGTGACATCTTATTAATAATATTGTTATTTTAACAGTACTATTAGGGTAATGTAGAATTATTACATATTATTATGGTATTTAATGTAGAATCAAAGAAGGACTATGAAGAAAAATTCCTATTTTCTTAATGTTTTCCAGGAACGATTCTTTAAAGTGCCTGGCCATGTCTAGGTTACTGTGTTTTGGGGATAAGGTTTTATCTTCTGTTAATGTATTTTTACACTATCTTTACTGATTTGCTCTTCTTTGTTACCTATGCCTGGGAATGTTAAGTAGGATGACTTAGATAACAAAAGACCCTATGATGTTTGGTCAAAAGGAATAAAAGATACTATACAGAAAATCAAACTCCTACTATTTATTTAAATAGTTCCTCTCCCTTTCACTTAAATTAATGGGCATCTGCAGTATTCTCCCAGGTGGAAACATCAGGCAAAACTAGCTCTATACATGGTAATAGGATTTTATAAGTGTGGGTGCTAATTGTGCAGTTATTGAGTTTTATGCAACTTTTCATTTTTGTTTTCTAGCACAGCAAAATACAACATAATTACATTCCTTCCAAGATTTCTCTACTCTCAGTTCAGAAGAGCTGCAAATTCATTTTTTCTCTTTATTGCACTACTTCAGGTAAAGTCTTGTCTTTAAATTTTAGTTCAGAATCAAAGGTTTCGGTGTTGATAATTATGTTTTTGCTAATAATATTTTATTAATGTTTTTATTAAGCCTGTAGTTATCTGCAGCTTCTCTAAATGCAGTGAGGTCAACTGATATGGGGAGATGTTTCTAGATCCAGCTCCAGGAAACCTTCGAACTCTGCAGCCTCTTTAAACATTATGATTTCTTTTTATCAGTTTATTCTGAACACTATGTAAATTTGATGTGACAAAAATTTTAGAGTCATAAAGAGTGATTAGACTTTAAATAATATTAACATATCTTAGTAAATAGTAAAGGTGTCTGTTCTGAATCTGAAAATACAAGAATCACCATTTTAAATCTTGTTTGCATTTGGGTTAATTATAAGACTGAAAAAAATATTATTTTATTAATAAATTGTTTACTGGAACTTACCAGGGTTAAGGCACTTGCTGTGTTTGTGGCTGTGAAGGTCATAACCCTGATTTAAATCCCTGGCACCACATGTGGTCCTCTGAACACCTCTGGGGTCACTTCTGAGCACTGAGCCAGGAATTGTCACTGAGCACAGCCAAGTGTGGCCAAAAAAAAAACAGAAAAAAGGAAAAAAAGAGCATACTGTGATGGTAAAAGAGTGAGAAAGCACAACAAAGTATAAAGTAATTTAAAAAAAGTAAACTTACTGTTCTACCATTCAGAGGCAACTAAATTAAAATGTTAGATGAAAATTTTCCCTTTTATCGTCCAAACATTGTTTATTGTTCTACTATGTGGGAGTGTATAGAACATGAACTCCTTTGTAATATGTTTTATTCACATAAAAATATGTGAGCATTTTCCCAGGTGAGTCACTGTGTTTCTGAGCTTTTATTGTAAAGGGTCCTCTGACATTTCAATAGTTGTATGTAATTTGTCCACCTAGTGCTCCTTTGTGTTTGTCCTACCCACTACTGCTGGGAATGAAGATAATTTACTTGCTTTTCCAGCTGCTTACTAGACAAGGAGCAAAATGCCTCTCTCTGTATTAGTCAGCCAAGATAGTAAAATCAGTGAGGCTTATTTTAAGAGGCACTAAAAATTGTTTTAAAATCTGTTCGAAGCTGCTCACTCTCACTGGATGTCTTTCCTCTCTTTTTCTTCTTCAAATAGCAAATACCCGATGTGTCACCAACAGGTCGCTACACAACGCTGGTTCCTCTCTTATTTATTTTAGCTGTGGCAGCTATCAAAGAGATAATAGAAGATATTGTAAGTAATTTTGACTTTTAGAAATTCATGCCAGTCTTTGTTATTCTGGTAAATAACAAACGAATTATCTTTTTAAAGTTCTCTCATTCTTGGTCCAAGCTGTAAAAATGCCATTCAATGTATGCTCCCACTTTTAGAATTAATTTTTGTTTAATTTTTGTTGACTTATTTGGGATTCATGCTGTAGAAAGTTGTTCATAGTGTTTTTGATATTTCTACTTTAATAATGAGAGAAGTTCATTTTAATGTTGTATTCTTGAGGACAAAGCCTTATTTAAACTTTATTCTCAGTTCTCTTTAATTTTTCATTTAATGTTATTTTAAGCTAAATCAGTAAAACACCTTTAATTCCTTTCATTTATTTTAACAGTTCTCTTTCATTTTCTTTGATTAAGAGAAACTAAGAGCAGAATTGCTATTTTTATTATTCTAGTTCAGAAAAGGGAAGTTTCCTGTTAAGTAAGTTTCCCCAAATAAATTCAGGTTTTCCCCCTATTTTGCCCTTATTTTACCTTACTGTAGTTGAAGCCATTTTTTTTCTATGCTTTTTAAGTACTTGCCCTCTGTAATATGACCTCAGTAGGCCTGAGGCAAGTCAGATGAAGGCAGAGGAAGGCTGAGACAAAGGTACATGAACAGAAAGTTCCAAGTTACACAGATATTCATAATTTCTATAGAGATTCACATTGGGGTCTTATTACACATGAACCATAGCATCACAAGACCCATCAGACAACAGTCAACTGACTATTCAGATTCTAGTCTCAGAAGATCCCAGTGTCCAAGAACAGGAACAGAGTTTGTGTGTGTATGTACATGTGTCTAAGACATCATCTCCTCCTGACTGGAAATGACCTACTTGTTGGGGAGACAGTGAGCTGAGCATTTCAGGGTTTCTCTTCTCCCCTAAATTGTTCTGCACATACTTAACAATTTTTAACTCTTATTGGATTGATCATTACTATGATTCTTCTCCTCTCTTTCTTTGTTCATGTTTTCATTTCTTTCTTTGTTTACCACAGTTTTCTTTGACCCTGTACTCTAGTAAAAAACACTGTGCTGTTATTTAGCAAATATGATTCTTATTTAGTTATTCCAATAACTTTGAAATCTGGGGGAATGACTTTATTTGAAAGGTAAGGAAGCTGAGACAAGTTGACTAACTTGTTCAAGACAGTGCTAGACTCAGAACTCCTTTCCTCTTTCTAGTATTACTGTGTGTGGCATGTCTCCTATGTTAGTCATACAATTTAGTGAGCTTCTGTGTTTCATGTACTTGCTCTTTTGTGTGTTTTTTTTTAATTGTATTAAATCTTACAACAACTCTCTAAGGGATTTCTGATACTGTCTCCACTTCACAGATGAGGGGAAGGTAAGATAAATTATTCAACATAACACAGATTTTCACAAGGGTATCAAAATTCCAAAAGTCAATTTTCCTTATAACCACTCTAGCTTAGGGCACTTAGTTGGGTTTTTGTTTGTTTTTATTTTGATCTAAAACAAAACATTGCATTAAGCCTGAGAAATAACTCAGTGTGGGAGGTTCGGTTCCAGCACGATGTGGTCTCCCAAACACCACCAGAAGTGCTCCCGAGCACAAACTTAAGAGTAGCCACTAGTGATGCCAAGTGGCCCCACCCCACAAGACAAAACTGCACCTTGTCAAATTCTAATTTTAATTTTAAGGGTCAAGTTGCTTTTAAATTAATAATATTCACCACTAAAAGGACACTATTTTCTCTAAGTGTGTTAACTTAAGACTGAAAACTTTGGGGCTGGAGCAATAGTACAGCAGGTAAGGTGCTTCCCTTGCACGCAGCTAACCTGGATTCAATTCCTATAATTCCATATGGTCCCTTGAACCTGCTAGGAGTAATCCCTGAGCATCCCTGGGGCTCACCCAAAACCAAAAAAAAAAGGGGGGGGGGGCAAAAACTCTATTTATTATAAAGCATGTATTTTTGGGGGAGGCCTTCCCAGCAGTGGTTGGGCCCAGGTCACTTCTGGTGATCAGCTCTACAGTGTGACTTGATGGATCAGTACTCAGGCATGGCCATGCTCAGCTTGGATGTGGTGGAGGCCTCATGAGTGCTGAGGGTGTCAGGGAGCACCAGAATAACACTAGCAGTGCTGGTATTGGGTAGCGGCTTGCAGTGCCTGAGCTATCTCCCAGCATCCCAAGTACTTAATGAAAATCTGCAGTGTTCAGAGACCAATACTGGAATATGCCAGTCATGAGTGATGTCATCGTGAGGAGTCTCAGTCCAGAGGAAGGGGTCCTGTGCCAATCGAGCACTCACCAGGCTCTTTGAGAATTGCATGATACACATGAAGTCCTTAGGCAGAACAGTGCCAAGTGTCTAGTAAGGGCTAAGTAGAAGTTAGCTGTGTTGCCACTCTTCAAAAATTTGATTAAAATATGAAAAATGCATTTGGGAGGATAACAGAGGCTTTGGGTAAACTAGTTAGAAGAATATCCTAGTAGTTATATGAGAAAATAGAAATATCTTAGGCTGAGTGGTGTGGCAGAAATGAACTATGGAAAGAAGAGTTCAGTACATATTAAGAAGTAAAACAAATTTACCAACATCTTATGTGCTACACAGTCTATTTATTTAATCATATCTTATCTCTGTCTCTGGAAGGTAGGGTCTTGGAGTGCACAGAGTTATGTCTTGTCTATTGCTTTGTCCTCAACAGTAGCAACAGGGTCTGGCACATAGTAAGCATCTGGTACCATTAACTGAGGTATGGATAGGATGGAAGTGAGAAGGAGAAGGTGTGAGGCAGACTTTTAGGTTTCAGGTCTCTATGAGTGGGTGGATATGGTGCCATTATCTTAGAGACAAGGACTTATCCCGAGGAAGAAGGCCTCTTAGTTTGGGACTAGAAGGCAAAGTCAAGGAAACAATTGGACATAACCAGAAGTTAGGTGAGGATTTTGACTGTTGGAAATTCAAATTTTGACTCAATTGAAACTGCAGGTGTATAGGAGTTCAACTAGGAAAAGAGTAGCACTGTCTGTAGCACTGTTCTCCAATTGTTCATCGATTTGCTCTAGCGGGCACCAGTAATGTCTCCATTGTGAGACTTGTTACCATTTTTGGCATATCAAATATGTCATAGGTAGCTTGCCAGGCTTTGCCGTATGGGTGGGTTACTCTTGGTAGCTTGCCAAGTTCTCCAAGAGTGGTGGAGAAACCCAGGTCAGCTGTGTAAAGCTCCAACCCGATAGCACAGCTGGTAGGGTATTTGCCTTGCATGTGGCCAACCCGGGTTCGATTCCCAGCTTCCCATATGGTCCCCCGAGCACTGCCACGAGTAATTCCTGAGTGCAGAGTCAGGAGTAACCCCTGGACATTGCCTGGAGTGGCTCAAAAAGGAATAAAAAAAAGATTGACAGATGAAAACAGGAAAGAGTAGAGAAACAAAACTAGAAAAATGTCAGAGTTAGAAGAATTCTAACATTAAACAAGCAATGAGACAAAGGGGACAAGGTACAGATGTACAGATTTAAAAACAACAGCATCAACAAACAAAACAAAAACAAAACTGAGCTTGATAGGACAAGAAATGCCCTAGAAGAAAAAAAGGCTCCTAGGAGAAAGAAGTGGTCCCATTGACACCAAATAATGGCACTATTTAAATGCTAGATTTTATTGCTATAATGAAATTTTATTTTATTGTCATCCTCGTATTAATAATATTAAGTCATGGACTCTCAGTGACTTTAAATGACTCTGATCATAACGTAATGGTGGTATCTGAACTTCAGAGCACATATTAATATTTTTCTGAAGTATTCATTTGAGATGAGGAAGGATGGTCTTTAGGGTACAAAGCTGCTTTTTTTTAGTAGGCAGAAAATTAGAATCTGCCTGTGTGAGTTTGATTCTCCATGTCTAATAAACACACTTGCTTGACTTTGTTCATGGAGAAGTTTGAGTAGCCAGACTCTCTTGTATATGAATTCTCTGTTGATGGAAAATAACCTCCTTGGGTTCCTTTCACTAAGATCAAATTTCCTGTTTAAATGGAATGTTTCAGTGGTTGGCTTTTACTTGTCTCCTTAAGTTGGGAGTCTCTGTTGTGATTCATAGATGTGCTTTGTTTGGGAAATAATTGCGCCTCCTTTGAATATACAAATTTATGTTGGCCTGTTAAGGCCAAACACCTCAGTTGATTTTTAATTTTCCTAATATTTCTAATTAACAAAAGAGTATTGTAGTAATGTAATGGTTCAACTATACCATTACATAGAAAAGGGAAAGGCTCTTATAAAACTTATAAAGGTACTTTTAAAATGCCCTCCATTAGGAAATATTCTCTCCTGGTGCTGCAAGTTAACAGAACTTTAAAATTTATTTAAGAATATTGAGTGGCAAATCATGTGGTTACTTTTGAAAGGCAGAATTTGCTATTAAAAGACCATGCTATTCTACTTTCATTAGTGAGCACTCTGTTCTGAGAAAGAATGTAGTGTGTTTCCGTGCACCAGATGTGACAAGAAGCATTTTCAGCAAGCCTTTGACAGAAATGTTTTGATTGCTCTGTTTGCTTAGCTGAGTTCCATGGCTGATACTTTGAATGAACTGGTTCACAGTGGTAGTAATTATGCTATTCCTCCCCAGCATTGCTGTTTTGGAGTGCTAATTCACCACTCCAGGCATTTCTCTTAAAGAATCTTTTTATATGTGTATTGAATTCTAAAAACCATGTTCCTTGATCTAATGGAAAAACCTCAAAACTCATTTTTCCAACCCACCTTCTTTACAGGCATGTACAGTAAGTTGCACGCCACACTTTTCTGGAGTGCCAACTGAGGCTGTATTCTTACACCTGAGGCTGTAAGTTTAGATGGAAGCCAGGGGAAAACCTGTAGTTGAACTGAAGGAAAGATAGCTTCCCCCACCAGGCCACTCACATTCTCACCTTACCTCTCACCTTCAGTTGCTTTTTCTAGCTGCTCTAAAATCCTGATATGCAGCTCTTCAAACTCAGACACCTACACTGAGACTCACTCACTCACTGCTTGACCATTTCATTTTCCTACTGCTTTTAGGAGAGGGGACAGTAGAATCAAAACTTTTGTTCTTTAGTTGGGACAACTGAGAAGGGAGTTTATGGGACAACAGTGAATCTTGGGGATTTCATGCAAATGGTTGATGAATTTGGTTTTGGTCATTGACAGACATTAGCATGTCATTAAATTATGGAGGCTATATTCAATTAAACCAATTTATAAGAAGCTGAAGGTATTTCAGTACTGTTATGAAATGGTAGCATTGTAGCACTGCACTGTCCTCCTGTTGTTCATCGATTTGCTCGAGCAGGCACCAGTAACGTCTCCATTGTGAGACTTGTTGTTACTGTTATTGGCATATTGAATACAACATGGGGAGCTTGCCAGGCTCTGCCATGCAGGTGGGATACTCTAGGTAGCTTGCTGGGCTCTCTGAGAGGGACAGAGGAATCGAACCTGGGTCAGCCACATGCAAGGCAAACGCCCTACCACTGTGCTATCACTCCAGCCATTTTCAACTGGTAAGTTTATTATAGGTAATTCTCTTGATCCGCCTTTTTTTTTTAATGAGTCATTTAAGCAGAAGAGTATAACAGCTTTTTATTGCATTTTTCCCCAGTATATTGGAATTTTAATTTTTCTTATATGATGATGTAAAATCCTGTCATGGACCACACATTTGTGTTCCCAGAAGAGAACTGTGTAAGATTGTGTGAATTGTTGAAAGAAATCTCTGTTTTGTTAAAAGTGCTCCTTTGCTTTATAAATCTTATTTACTTTCTGACAGTTTTTATTATTATTATTTTTTTTAATTTTAGAAACGACATAAGGCAGATAATGCAGTGAACAAGAAGCAGACACAAGGTAGGAATTTGGCATTTTATTTCTGATGTCTGTCAGATGCACTCTTAGTAACATACGAATTTCTGCAGTTAAAACCAATCCAATGGAGACTACCATATATTGCTTAACTTTTTGTTCCAAGGCAGATTTCTCAATTTGTACCATTTATATACATGATACCTAAATTTATATTGGAGTGCTTCATAGTGTAATACTTTAGAGAGGTAGAATTTTTTGATATATATTTTAGTGTCTTACAGCAGTGTATTTTCAAACACTATTCATAAAACTCATTGTTAGTTTGTTAACATTTGCCAGAATACAACATCTTTATTTTATTATCTGCAGCTATAACTGTAAAAAAAAAAGATTTATAGAAAATAACCAGATGGTATATTCTTGGGTAAAGGGTATATCAGGGGTACATTTTTTTGTTTGGTTTGTTTGTTTTTATTTTTAACTGAGTCACCATGAGATACACAGTTATGAAGCTGTTCTTCAACGGGTTTCAGTCATACAGTGATACAACACCCATCCCTCAATTATTTTCTCTCCAGCCACTCCCCTCCCCCAGCCTGCCTCTATGACTTTGGGAGGCACATTTCATCTCTCCCTCTGTCTCTCATCAGAGGTACTTGAATTATACTCTGTGTTCAGATCTTATATGCTCCAAAAAGAAAGGATTCAAACCTGTTTGAGAAGAATGGGGCATTTTGACAATGCACTTTTGTTATATGTCTCATTTTAACTAAGTCAGGAATAAAATGAACTTCAACACAAACAAATAATCATATACTCTCAGTTTTTTTAAAAAAAATACCCAGACCAGGAAAACTAGTCAGAGGTTGGAAGCTTACCACAAGAGTGTTGTGGGGTGAAGGGTAGGTAGTTAGGATAGAGAAGAACTAGTATTAAAATAATAGTTCGAAAGGATCATTTTGGACAGTATCTGATTGTTAGAAAATAGGTAAATGGATATACCTGATGACCTTTAATTATCTGTATTGCAAACTATAAAGCAGAGAGAGAGAGAGAGAGAGAGAGAGAGAGAGAGAGATGCCTGCCATAGAGACAGGCAGGAGAGGGGGGTGTGAGACAGAAACTGAGTGTGGGAAATGTACCTTGATGTTGGAACATTATATGTACAGTGGTGTTGGAACATTATATGAAACCCAATCATGAACAACTTTGTTAATGTGTATTTCACTGTGGTTCAAATGAAAAACACATTTTTTTAAATATCCAGGAGGGGCTGGAGAGAGAGAATAGCAGAGAGGGCTCTTGCCTTACACACTGCCAGCTGGGGTTCAGTCTTCATATGGTTTCCTGAGCCCACCAGGAGTGAATGCAAAGTAAGGAGTAAGCCCAAGGACAGCTGGGTGTGGCACCAAACTATAAATGAATAAGCCAAAAACATTCCTTTTTGTCTACTGTACAAAGAAAATGAAACAAAAATTTTTTTGCTTTCTTTCTTGGTTCACTAATTCATCCTGAATTAATAGGATTAGCTGGATGACTAAAAATAAAGAAGAGAAGGGGGTACAGTGCCACCCAACAGGTCAACCTATACCTGCTGGGTGTGTATATCAGCAGCCTAATGGTGACTTCAGGCTTCCTGATACCCCCAAATTCTTGCAATCTCTCTGGCTGGACCTCAACAACTTGGGACCAAGTTTCCTGAGAAATTAATCTGCCAAAAGTTAGGTACGTGGGAGTTATACCCACGAACCACCACCAGCTCAGCTATACAAGCTCATTTATTGGCCTTGCTTCAGATAAACCATAAATAAATTTCAAGAAATCAAAATCAGGCCATTTAAGTGCATTAGCAGGCATGATTCAGAAACTCACAAATGAATCTCGGAAGAGAGCAGCACTCTGCAGACATGCCTCCAGACCCTAAATATTTAAAACATTTTAGAATTCCAGGAGTGCATGGCTGCTTTGTGGCCACACAACATCTCATACTGTTCATAACACTCTATCACTTTATCACTGTCATCCTATTGTTCATCGATTTCCTCGAGCAGGCACCAGTAACGTCTCCTTCATCCTAGCCCTGAGATTTTAGAAAGTGCCACATTTGAGGTTCTTTCAGGGTCAGGAGAATGAGACTCATCATTGTTACTGGTTTTTGGCATATTGTATATGGGGAGTTTGCCAGACTCTGCCGTGTGGGCAGGATACTCTCGGTAGCCTGCCAGGTTCTCCAGAGTAAGAACTAGATAATAAGGTGTCACGTGACCGCATTTGCGGCTGCACTCTTCCAGGAGCTGGGTTTCAGAGTCTCTGGGTCTTGGCCATTAATGGGATTACACGGAGCCGAGGGCAGTTGGTGGGTGTAACGCGTACATACTGGAAGAAGGGGGTCTGGGTGGAGGAGGCCCAGTCCCGATCCAAGCAGGCTTGAAGGTCTAAGCCCGGGTCCTGCACACCTGGGTTCCTCTGCCAGTTCCTTCATGTGTGAGGAACTGCTATTCATAACAAGCAATACAAAATAAATTATTTAGTATCTGCCTATGGTCCAGGCTTGGATGATGGTGAGAAAATTCGGAATAATGGTGGTGGGAAGGTGTTATGGTGGTGGGATTGGTGTTGAAATGTTGAATGTAAACAATTATTGTGAACAATTTTATGAAAATAAAATTAAAAAATTAAAAGATAAAGTAATGTGGAGTTCATGCCTGCTTCAGTCAGTTTAATCAGTGGCTAAATAAATAGCAGTGCTCCTATGTGTTTTTTTTTTTAAAAATAATTGGTGAGAGGGAAGGCATCTGTAGAATAAAAACTCATATCAAACATATAATAGCTGGGGCTGGAGCAATAGAACAGCGGGTAGGGCGTTTGCCTTACACGCGGCCGACCCGGGTTTGATTCCCAGCATCCCATATGGTCCCCTGAGCACTGCCAGGAGTAACTCTTAAGTGCAGAGCCAGGAGAAACCCCTGTGCATCGCCAGGTGTGACCCAAAAAGAAAAATAACAACAACAACAACAACAACAACATATAATAGCAAGGCACAATAACTGTTAGGCCATTGTAGCCAGAAGAAGACTTGAAATCTCATAACCCAGAAATTGCAACTTTTTGATCTACGAAGTTGTTTTCCAAAAGAACAGTGAATCTCCTTTTGTCCAGTGTCCAGTTAGTGTTGGTCGTCTCTTTTGGTCTTACACTTCATCTGAGATAGCACAAATGTTTGAATAGGGTATTGTTCTCTGTCAGATCATACAAATTGCTTGGTATAAAAGCCATCTGTTGTCATCAGACCAGAATGGAATTCCATTTGCTCTCCTGAGTTGAGGACGGAGTGGGTTGTAGGAGTGGGAAGGGGGCTATTTTTAAGAAATAATTAGTTTTTGACAAATATTTGAAGCATCAGATATGAATTTCCATTTTCTAAATGTTTACCACACTGTATAATATGTAGGACACTATGAATCCCTAATTCAAATATCAATCTTATATTCCTAGAGAAATAAATATTTTCTCTTATTTTACATTGAGGCTCTCAGGGGTAACTTTTTCTCCATCATTCCTTAATGGCTTTCATAAACATTAAAATTTTTTATTTTTCTTTACTTTTCTTTTTTCCCATAGGTCACACCCAGCAGTGCTCAGGGATCACTCCTGGCTCTCTACTCAAGGATCATTCCTAATGGAGTTCAGGGAATCATATGGGGTGCTAGGGATCTGCCACTACTTACAAGGAACATATTTACTGTTTTCTATACAATATTTTTGACCTTTTAACTATACACTGTTTGTCTGATGCTTCATTTTACCAACTAATGAACTCAATAAGATTACAATCAACTTACTCAAATTACAGATTTCGGATCTAACTCAGAACTTTATAAACTTAGTATTTTAAACCAGTCATCACCACCTTTGGAGATGTCATTTCTTGTCCTGGATATATATAAATTGGTTAGGTAGGAGATATATAAGTTATTCAATAAACTGGCAAATGCAGAATAGTATATTCTCTGGGGAACTCTGGTAGGGCTGAAGTCAGTTGATCTTAGGAATCCTGATATTGTTGAGTTTTGTGGTTTTCTCCTCCCAGGGAATCGTGATTGCCTGCTCTTCAGCCCTGTGTATTTTTGCACTGAGTTTTTGATGTGTGATGGTTTGCATATACCAGATATGAATGCTGCAGAGAGTAGACCCAACTCCTGTCGGCATTGTGTTTCCCAGAGCTCCTACCCCAGAGGCCTGCTCTTAGCAGGAGCTCTATATATGCATGGCATAGGAACCATTGTTTTGACCTATGCTTGAGTACAGATAAGGAAGGGCCAATAGAAATGAAAAATCCATTATAGAGGATTCATTATCTGGGGTGTGAACAAAATGAAAACAATATATTCACTGTAACCCAGACTGCTTTGCAAGTACTAGTAGTTTATGAATGTGGTAGAAGTTCTTGCCACTTCTTAGACTTTCCTGTGGAAGTCATTTTAATCAGTATTTCACCTTATTCTGCTCCTGTGAGCACCATATGGTGTCCACTTTCCACTGAGCCAAAGCCAGAGCTTTATGCCACTTTGTGCAGAAAGCCCCCATTTTCTTGCATCGAAACTCACCCCATTTCCTTTGAATTTTTTCTCTCAGTATTTGACATACCATTCTCCATATGCTGAAACACACTGGAGGCAATTTCTCATTACTTTCCCTCAACTGAGCTGTTTTGCCAAATATAGCTCTACTGGGAATTGTAAATAAAAAAAAATCTACTTATTATGATATGTACATTGAAGCCACCTGCAGTGAATTTATTCTGGTAGTTGAATTAGTTCTCATTTTCAGTTTAAGTATATACTTTGAAAAATGAATTGCTAGGTCCAGAGATGTAGTACAATGGGTATGGTGCATTGCCTTGCAAACAACTGACTGGCATTCAGTCATGTGCATCACATCTGCCCGTATGCCCAGCCCCACTAGGAGTTATTCCTGAGCACACAAGCACACAGAGTAAGCCCTGAGCATAGCCAGGCATGCCCTCCAATGAATATGATTTG